TTTTCAAACAAGGTGCTCTATACTTTCAATTTGCACTGGATCCCACAAATTACACTGCCAGCCTTGAGCCCTAGTGGCAAGTGTTCAAATGCTGAAGCTTTCCAACGATGCAGATGAAGGTTTGTTCTGTTTTTTGACAATCTCATCGGGGAACACTGAAATTAACCTTGAGATCCCTGACTCACCTCAGTCACCCAATGTCTTTTTTTCTATATGGGCCAGCAGACCTACTACCAACTAATGCTTGGCTTTTCTCACCTGCTACACCACTCTCTTTGGCGAGTACCTTCCAGACAATCTAATCGCAACAAATTTCTACAGCAAACAGCCCAGGCAGTGCTGGCAAACCTATGGAAAATGTGCCAGGGAGCTGTTTGTTATCACTGAAAGATTAATAGGTTCACCACCACTGGCCTAGAGTATATGCACGGGTCCTTCCCTGTTAAGGCAGGCGGCTGCACTCCACCTCTGTGCCCTCATGCCCTTAGTGCTTCCTTCAGGATCCTCCAGGTGAGAAGAGGCCATTTGTTTCTGTTTAACATTCTATCCTCAAACCCTCAAGGCTGTATTTCTGGGGTCCAAGAACTTCTTTTTTTGTCTTTTTGAGACAGGGTCTCACTATGCAGTTCAGGCTGGCCTTGAGCTTACTTTGTAGCCCAGGCTGGTCTCAAGCTCGCAATGATTCTCCTGCCTCAAGACTCCTGAGTGGCTGGGATTACAGGCATGTGCCAACTCCAAGCTTCCAAGAATTTTCTTTTTTTGAGATAGGATCTTGCTATGCAGTCAGGCTGGCCTTGAGCTCACTTTCTGGCCCAGGCTTGAACTTGCAAAGATCCTCCTGCCTCAGCCTCCCAAGTGCTGGGGTTACAGGTGTGTGTGCCACCACACCCAGCTTTCCAAGAACTTTCTAATCACACTGGGTTCATTTATAGTAGCACCTCTGTCTTGGTTACTTTCCTCTTGCTGCTGGGACAAAATATATCTGATGCCCAAAATTAAGGAAGGAAAAAAGTTTATTTAGCTTACAGATTGTGGAGGTTTCAGTCCACACTGGACTGGTTCCAAGACAGAGTGGCACATGGCAGAGGGTAAGTGATCACTGCAGCAGAACACAGCAAAAGCAACAAGCACAAAAGGGAGGAATGGCAGCAAGCAGCCTCTTTCCCTCCCTTACATTGTATGCAAACTACCTGCCCCAGGGAGGGTGTAACACTCACACCCATAATCACAGCACTGGATCATGGATCAATCACAAATCCTAGAACCCCATGACTGCATGAGGATTTGGGGGGCATGCAGACACAAACCATAACAAGCCCCAAGGCAGAGCAGTAGATCCCACAGTGCAACAAGCAGCCGACCAGATGACCTCCTACAGATTCACCCAGTTTTTGTTTTTATGGGTGTGGCCCTGACATCACTGTCACTTGGCCTGGGGGAGGAAGAGACATGGTATTAAAGTCTCTACTAGGTTAGTAATCTTCTATTTCCCAAAATGCCCTACATCCTAAATTTCCCTTAAATTTTTAATCTTCTCTTTATATACACTGAATTTGGGTAATGGTCATAAAACCTGCTTGGGTCATTTTAGCAAGTCATTTGAGGTCATACTTAGCACTTCCCCTCGAGAATGTGGTGGTACTTAACTGCAGTATAGTGTGAGTTTAAAAGTTGTGGAGGAGAAATTTGCTAATGTGAAGGATATTTTAGGATGTCATACTGGAGGTTCAAGCACTACTGGCATCTAATGAGTAGAGGTCAGGGATGCTGCTAAACAATCTACAATGCACGCTACAACCTTTCATGCAAAGAGGACTTAACCAACATGCCAATAGTACTAAGGTTAAGAATATAGCTCAGTGGTATACAAGCACAAGGTTCTAGGATCAAGCCTCAGCATGTTGAGTGGGTCTCAAAAGCCACGCTGCCTAGATTAAAATCTTAGCTCTACCTCTTATGTATCTGTGACCTTGGGCTGGAAATTTAGTTTCTTGATTCCTCAATTTCCTCATATGCAAAAAAAGGGCTTGGGGCTGGGCATTTAGCTCAGTGGCACAGCGCCTGTCTGGCAACCGCAAGGTCATGAGTTCGATTCCCAGTACCAGAAAAAAAA